ACTGGATTTTGCACTCTCCCGTTTTAGTAAATCAACCCCAGAGTTCAATGCAGCTGCTAAAAATTTTCTATATATTACAAGTCACAGTACAAGTGTATATTTATAGTCACAGTAGAGGATAATAGAAAACTATTTGAAAAATTCCACCTGGACTAGAGCCAAAAGTAAGTGGTTCATCCACACATCACACACTCTCCGCCATATAAAGGCGTTAACATTGTTGATATTGTGACAGTAAACCTGCAGGTTTAGATGATCCAAGGCACTTATTAGTGGCTATTGTATGTCATATTTGTATTACTCTATTTCTGTATGTTCTAAGTTAGAAAAGAGCACTGGGCTCAATTTCCATTGTACTTTGTACACATAGTTATGATTAGAATTTAATACTTTTATTGTAAATTATTTGTACACTATAGTAGACATTGGCACTATCACAGTTACCGTTATATGTATCAGTTTATTAACTGCCATGCCATTAAAATGAGATAAAATATTTAACATGTTAGATTGCAAGCTCCCATGGACAGGGCCCTCTGAGTCATCCTGTATTGAATTGTGTTGTAACTGTACTGTCTCCCTTTACTTTGTAAAGTGTTCACAAAGTATAAAAGTATATGTACACCCTGCAAACTCTAGGCACTATATAAATTCTGTATAATAATATGAACAATATGTTCAGTAGACACTGACAATATTACATTTTTATTATTATCTTAATATACAACTTACACTGTCTTAAAAACATCCTCCCTTATACAGTAGCAAATAAATGTAGGTCTATATCATTTGTTTTGGTAGTTTAACTCTAGACTTTGCCAGTTCTTTTAAATGGTGTACCTCCAAAATCTATTACAGAGAGAGTGGCCCTACACAATAGATTTAGTAGTATCCCTTTATGCCAGGACCACAATTGCCACATGTAATGTATCTTATATAATAATTATATTGTATCTTTCTGTCTTCTTTAGAAGTTTACCTACAGCCATTTGCAATATAGCTGCATGCTTTTGGACGTTTGGGGAAAATATTTCTTAATAACATGGGGTTTTCATATTAGATTGTATGACTGAAAGCTAATTTAACATCAGAATTATTGATTAACACAAAAGGTTTTTATAGCAAAGGTCTGAACCTTTTCAATAAGGTAAAATGGCAAAAATGCTGTAACCACTGGAAACAAATCTATTTTTTTTTTTTAATTAATCTATTTAAACTGGTGAAAGGGTGACATCTAGTTACTGCATGTACCATATTATTATTATTATTATTATTATACAGGATTTATATAGCACCAAGTTTGCTCAGCGCTTTACAATATAACTGGAGACAATACAGTTCAATACAAGAGGGTTAGGAGGGCCCTGCTCATTGGAGCTTACAATCTAAGAGCATATGATTATTGTGCTTTGCAACTCCATATTAATAATGACATACCACTTCTTAGTAATTAATCTGGAGGGCTTCTTTATTATGCAATACAGACAATAACAGACCTAAAACTATACACCTTCTGCAACAGAGACATAGCAAGTAATATTTTTCCTGCACAATTATATTTTAAAAACGATTTTTCCCACTATACCTTTAATAAATAAATGGATGAAGCCAAAGTCCACTATGTTGTGTTTTGGCAGAGTTATATTTACATGGTCATTGAAACCTGGTATTTTTGTTTAAGCATCCATTGCTCTCCACATACAGATATGGATTAAATCAGGTCACTTTCTCAGGACCTTTTAGTCTGCCTAATAAAAATCTGGCAACAGGTTAAGATGTGTAATCTTTAGCTTTTAATAAATACCACCTTGTTATTGATGCACAGGTCAAATTTGGTATCAAATCAGCACAGGATACGGACTTCAGACTTTCCTTAATTGACTTATATGTGCTTGGAAACAGGAGATATGAGAGATGAAGATCAGAGAGTAATATGCAATGTTGCATTAGTACATAACATGGATTGCATGCACTATTTATATGTGTGATGCTTATTTATATAAAAAACTGGGCATTTAACCCATAGTATCTAGTGTGATTTACCCTTACCTGAAAAAAAATCGTATTACAATACAAATCTTTCACAGACACGATGGGGAGTGATTGCATGCAGAGAAGTAGGATCGCTTAGAAGTTATAGATCGTACTGATGCACTATTGTATGTACAACTTTAACTTGGTAACTGCTGCATCATACAATAAACAGTGGTATTATGTAAAAACAATACATATATATAATATTTCCGGGATCTTTTGTATACATACGATTTAAATCATAGGGTTGTAAAGGCAAGGTTGGATCAATTCTCAGTGGAGGGAAGTATAAGGTGTCACCACCTCAATAGCTGCATCTCTCAAGTTTGCACACATTTTAGTGATGTTCTTCATTGGCTGAGTTGAGTTATGAAAGATGCAAGTTTTCGGGATAACTCAAATCCCTTTGTCGGGCTTTATTCATTAGCAAATAAAGGGTATACCTTAAACTCCTAGCTTTCTACATTAATCCCTGGCTACCACCCTCACTGTCTGCTGACATAAGGTCAATTTATTAAAATCCTCCAGGCTGTTCACTTAGCATTTGAAATACCCATTCATGTGCACAGAAGAAAAAAACATTTTTTTTTTTTTGGGTGTTAACAGTGAACACAACTTCACCAACGTGAAAAGTCTATAATCTTTTAATAAATCAACCCATAAAAAGGTCTACTGCTACATACCAATATAAGCATTTTTAACATTCAATCATGTGCACAGAAAAAAAAAAGTTTTTTCTTGCACATGATTTGGTGCTGACAGTGAACACAACTTCACCTTATGTACTCAGTGAAAAGTCTATAATCTTCCTATGAAGGTGGACGGTTACATGTTGTCATATAACTGAGGTCAACAGGTAGTAGGGAAAACAATCCATTGAAGTGTTCAGATATTAGACTATACAAATCTTAATAGTGTCCCCTATTGTACCTTTCATGAATTAATTATCAGTTATTACTGACTTATTGTCGAGTTACAATTTTTAGTGTCTCCTTATGTGTCCTTCATAAGATAATAATGAATTATTTTTTGTTTGATATTATTGAGTTAATTAATAACAATAATGAAAGAGCTTTTAGTGCCCCCTATTGCATCCTTCAAGATAATAATAAATTATTTTTTATTTGTTATTATTGAGTTAATTAATAATAGTCAAAGAGTTTTTAGTATCCCCTATTGCATCCTTCATAAGAATTATTTTGTATTTGTGATTATTGAGTTCATGAATAATAATCAGAGTTTTTAGTGCCCCCTATTGCATCCTTTAAAAGATAATAATGAATTATGCTTTATTTGTTATCATTGAGTTAATTAACAATAATCAGAGTTTAATTAACTCCCCTATTGTATCCTTCATAAGATAATGAATTATTTTGTGTTTGTTATTATTGAGTTAATTAATAATAATTAGAGTTTTTAGTGTCCCCTATTGTTTCCTTCATAAGATAATAATGAATTATTTTGTATTTGTTATTATTGAGTTAATTAATAATAATCAGAGTTTTTAGTGTTCCCTATTGCATCCTTCATAAGATAATAATTATTTTTTATTTGTTATTATTGAGTTAATTAATAATAATCAGAGTTTTTAGTGTCCCCTATTGTATTCTTCATGAAATAGTATTTAGTTATTTTTGAGGTGTTATTATTGAGTTAATTAACAGTATAATAATAGTGAAAGTTTTATGTCCCCTATTGTACCCTTTATGAGATAATCAGTAATAATTGAATTATAGTCAAGTGAACTAATAATAATGAGTCTTTTTAGTGTCCCCTACTGCACCCTTCATTGGATAGTAATGAGTTATAATTGAATTATAGTCAAGTGAACTAATAATAATGAGAGTCTTTTAGTGTCCCCTATTGCATCCTTCGTTGGGTAGTAATGAGTTATTATTGAAATATAATCCAGTGAATAATAATGAGAGACCTTTTAATGTCCCCCATTGCACCCTTCATATAGGATAGTAATGAGTAATAACTGAATGAATTCATAATACTGATAGACTTTTTAGTGTCCCCCATTGCACCCTTCATAGGATAGTAATGAGTAATAACTGAATGAATGCATAATACTGAGAGTCTTTTTAGTGTCCCCTATTGTACCCTTCATAAGGTAGTCATGAGTAATAACTGAATTAATTCATAATGATGAGAGCCTTTTTAGTGTCCCCTATTGCACCCTTCATAAGATAGTAATGAGTAATAACTGAATTAATTCATAATAATAAGAGTCTTTTTAGTGTCCCCCATTGTATCCTTCATTGGATAATAATGAGTTATAACTGAATGAATTCATAATAATGAGAGACTTTTTAGTGTTCCCTATTGCATCTTCATTGGATAGTATTGAGTAATAACTGAATGAATTCATATTAATGACATACTTTTTAGTGTCCCCCATTGCACCCTTCATTGGATAGTAATGAGTTATAACTGAATGAATTCACAATAATGAGTCTTTTTAGTGTCCCCCATTGCACCCATCATCGGATAATAATGAGTTATTATTGAGTTATAACTGATTGAATTTCTAATAATGAGAGACTTTAGTGTTCCCTATTGTACCCTCCATGACACAATAGGCGATACCTATTAGAATACAATGTCTACAAAGTAGCTAATGTTAAAGCACAAATGTAAACATCCGATAATAAGAGTCAATAAACATAAAAGAAGTGTTTAGTAATACATCTCCCGAAGTTATGTGGCTGCTCTGGACCTGTTGTATCTCCAGTACAGTGTGTGCGGATTGCGAGTCCCTGTCCCTGGCAATGTCCCTGAATGGGCAGCAGGCACAATGTCCGACAATCGCAGGATGGGAGAGCTGGAGGGATGTGTGAATTCCTGCGCTGGGCTATAGGGATCACATTACAGAGTTCCAGCGCAGCCTGATAACTTCCATTAGGAGCGATGTACCCTGAGCTGCGTGCAGGCAGCAGATGCAGGCTGGTGACTCCTCTTACCTTGGTATGCTTGACCTCCAGGTTTGGGGTGGGTGAGGGCAGCAGATGTAGAGAGGCCATCAGGGCAGCAGGGTCTGTCTTCACTTCTCCAGGCATCTCTATTTTACTGGAAGTCATAGCTGGGATGGACTATGCTGGATGGACTAAGCCTTCTCCCTGTCTGGATCTCTTCAGCTGACCTAATATTTGTTTTGTACTAGGGGAAGAGATGAGTGTTCTGGATATTAGCTCTCTTCCTCTGTATATAGGCAGGTGTCAAGCTGGGTCTCTTCTTATTGGACATCATGGGAGAAGCAGGGTGGGGATGGGGGGGGGGGGGCTGGTTCATCCTATGATGATATAATTACAAACGTCTATTTACATAAACCACTCAGCACAAGCCTATTCAGTCCCATCGCCAGTCAATGGGACTTCCCTTCCTTTTAACACGTTCAGTGCTGAAGAGTGTGATTGGGGCTCTCCTGACACCTCCACCCAATAGTGTGATGGAGCCCTCCTTGGCATGCTCACAGCTCCATCCACGTTTGGAGAGACATGGCAGGGGATTACTTGGCACTAATTAAAAACGAATTAGCACCTCTGTGTTGTGTTCAGCTCATCGGAAAACAACCAAAAGGGTTTAGACAATCAGAGGGTGTCACACACTCACTACCCATTACAGACTAGCAACTCAGAACCTAATTAGATACAATCTGTAAAACAGGACCTCTGGATGTTCTGCAATGCATGACTGTGAACAAGTGATCCCATTTGTGTGCCTAATCCTTGCTGATTACTCTGTGCTCTGCTTGGGAAACTTTTCCAGAGCTGTTTGCTTTTTTACAGCTGCTCAGTTTGTGGGGTGGATTTGCAGGTAGTCAGTAAAGACTATACAGTAGGAAGTGTGACAATGTGTGGATGGTCCTTTTAAATTCTGCTTTATTCTTATTAGAGGCATTTATAGACAATTGACATTTGTTGTTCGTTCACATCAACCTCTGCTCTCAAAAAGCTTACACTGTAATTTATTTATTACAGGTACTTATATAGCGCCAATTTATGCAGCACTTTACACATATATATTGTACATTCACATCAGTCCCTAACCGTCAAGGTGTGTTAAATCTAAGGTCCCTAACTCACATTTATACATACACATATTAGGGCCAATTTAGACAGGATCCAATTAACCTTCCAGCTTGTCTTTAGAAGGAAACCCATTCAGGCATAGGGAGAACATACAGACTACAGGCAGGTGGTTGGTATTTGAACCAACAACCCTAGTACTGCCAGGTGGAAGTGCTAACCATTTAGCCACTGTGCTGCCGCAATCTAACATCTCTATTTCACATTATAGGGCAAAATTACCTAACAACATGCCTTTGGAGTATGAAAGGAAACCTGAGTACCTGGAGTAAACCTACACCCAGGGGCAGACTGAAAATTCGAGCACTCGGGCACTGCCCGAGGGCCCGGGGGTCAGTAGGGGGCCCCATGAAGTGCCCCTGATACCTTTTATAGGCTTTTTGTGAGTGTGGGCGAGGACATAGGGGCCCCATGATCCCCTATTGCCCGGAGGCCCCATGAGTTGTCAGTCCGCCCCTGCCTGCACCAAAACTCCATGCAGGTAGTGTCATGACTGGGATTCAAACCAATGACACTAGTGCTGCGAGGCAGAAGTGTAAACCATTATGTTACTGTGGGGTTGATTTACTAAAACTGGAGAGTGCAAAATCTGGTGCAGCTCTGCATAGAAACCAATCAGCTTCCAGTTTTGTTTTTTGTCAAAGCTTAATTGAACAAGCTGAAGTTACACCCCGGTCACACCGATACCGACTTTGAAACCGTGCAACTTACAGTGAAGTCGTATGATTTCAAAGGCTGATGACATGTCGATTTGAGGTGCGATTTGCAAGACATCTGACACAGATATCTAGGCAAATAACACCAAAAGTAGTGCATACACTACTTTAGAAATTGGTGTGGCTTCAACCAAGTTGGAACTGATATGACCGCTGTCCGCTTAATTGTGGACAATAGGGTGCGACTTACCATGCGATTTGCAAGTCGTATGCCATGCAAATCGCATGCCTACTTGCACCTGGTGTGACTGGGGTCTTAGAAGCTGAAAGGCTACCATGCACATCTGCACCAGATTTTGCACTCTCCAGTTTTAGTAAATCAACTCCTGTGCTTCTGCTCCTCTCCTATTATTATTATACAGGATTTAAATAGCGCCAACAGTTTGCACAGTGCTTTACAAAATGAAGACAGACATTACAGTTACAATACAATTTGGTACAAAAGGAATTAGAGGGCCCTGCTCATTAGAGCTTACAATCTCTCCTACTAGTTTTTGTTGTTATAGCAGGTATGCAATAACTAAAGCAAGCTTTAGTGTTTGTATTTTAGGTATGTCCTATTATTGTATATTGACTACATGTACTACAGTTTAGAGCAGTGGTCTCCAAACTGTGGCACGGGGGCCAGATGCGGACCTTTGCTTGCCTTTATCTGGGCCTTGGAGTACTGTTCATCCCACTGATATGAGACACTATTCTGCCCATTGACACCAACAATGTGGTATAATATCTGCCACCAACAGCAAGAATGGGGTGCTATTTCTCCCATTGACATATGGCAATGGGGCACTATTCTATCCTGAATACCAAAGATGGGGCGCTGTTTACTCCCACTGATGCAAAAACAATTCTTTTTGCTCTGGCCACAGTCCAGTACCCCTAAAGTCTGAAGGACAGTTAACTGGCCCTTTGTTTAGGAAGTTTGGAGACCCTGATTTAGAGAATGAGTGTTGTTCATTTTTTTAATGTATTTCTGTATTTGTTCTTATATGTCTGGAATGCGTTTCTTTTGTGCATTATTAATAAGGAAATAGAGATTAGCATGGCACTAGCTGCTTGGAGTTCGCATGTTCTCCCTGTGCCTGTGTGAGTTGCCTCCAGTTTCCTCCCACACTCCAAAGACATGCTGGTAGGTTATTTGGCTCCTGCCTAATTGGCCCTAGGATGTGTATGTATGAAGGCAAGTTAGGGATCTTAGATTGTAAACTCCTTGAGGCCAGGGACTGATGTGAATGCACAATATATATATGTAAAGTGCTGAGTAAATTGACGGCACTATTTAGTACCTGTAATAAATAAATACAAAATTTAAAAACAGGTATGCAATCTATATAATATATTTATCAATATACTGACATGCTTGGATAACTTCATAAAATGAGAAGTTATATAAATAATCTTTAGATTATTATTAGACCACCTGCATCAACATAATGAGGCTGATTTACTACACAGGAATAAAAACCCAGCTCTGGGAAACTTGAATATTTTCCCTGCACCTGCACTGCAAGAGTTAACTGCTAGTTTAGGTCCCAGGGGGTAAAAAAAAGAAGATTTACTTACCTGATCCTCTGCTCCTTGCTTCTTACTGCTAGACCAGTCCCCACAGTATTTTCTCCTCCATGTTCCAGCAGTTTAAGGTCCTGATGTCATCAAGACTGATGCAGGGTCCATAGCCATGCAGTGGAAGTGATAATGATGGGGGGCAGTTCACTGTTAAAGCATAGGGGAATACTGTTTACTGGGGGAACAGAGGATTGGGTAAGGAAAAATGCTTTTGCCTTCCCCTAGAATAAATGAGCAGTTAAAGTGATATTAAACGCAAAACAAAAAAAGTAATATAATGCTTCTTGCCAGTCCTCGGATGTTGTGACTGCATTAGTTTTCTTTTTGTTTAGGCATTCTTTTTTCTCTGTTTTTCACCTGGTGATCTTATCAGTAGAACACCTCCTGTATTAGAATGTCTAAACTATGGAGGAATGAGCACAGGGAGCACATTTCCACAGCAGCATTGTCAGTCTATGGTAGGGGAATGTTAGATGTACTAGCAGATTTATATTCAGTTACAGCAAACAGGTTTTTCCTTATGGGATAAACGTTTTGCATGAATAAATAAAAGTTGATCATTGTAAGCACCCCTGTCAGTGTTAAATGGTTTGTTTTATCTCTGTAATCTGATACATTTGGAAGACAGCATGTTCTTTTGAAAGAAAACAGACCTACTGGCTCATCACCAGATGAAAATAGAAGAATCGAATAGAAAAGCAAGCCTAAAAAAGAAAACTAATACCACCATCACATCTAAGAATTGTAAAGCTGCAAAATAGTAAATGTTTATTTTGGGTTTAATACCACTTTAGCCTTATCAGTGTGGGTGCTGCTGGAGAATTTTCAGTATGCCCAGGAGTTTGGCTTTAAGAATCTTCACACAGTGAGAGCCCTTTTACACGGGCAGCGTCTGTTCCCTTCAGCAGGGGATCAGCGATTCTCTGCGGAATCAGAGCAGAACGGAAAGGATGTCATTTTTGTGACATCTGTATTTGTTCTTTTTTTTACTGCATCTTGTAATGGACCCACATTAGGTCTGTGGGCAGGCAGATATCAATGAATGTACATCTGTTTACATCCTTTTACCTCTGATTTGTCACATTTAGGGCAAGTTCACACCACAGAAACGCACTCTGGATGCATTCCTGATGCGTTTTTGCAGTTCAAACCACACTCCATTCTGGTGCATTTTCTTGTGTATTTTGCTATATTCCAGTGCAGTTCTGTGCACAAAAAATGCAGCAGGTTCTACTTTTTTTCTGTCCTGGAAACTGACTGGAACTAACTGCACTAATGTGAACTAGGGTCATTTGAATACATGGAAACACTGTGTATGCATTTTTGATGCAGAAACAAACACACTGGACTGGTGTGAACCAGCCTTTAGATCTGAAAAGATGAAAAAGAATGCAGACCTTATTAATTTTTTTTTTTTTGGACCTAGACTGACTTGAAGGTAGTCAGATGAAAACGGCACCCTTCATTTTATATCCGCCTGCCTATAGACTAACATTCAGCTCTTAGATTGTAAGCTCCCAGGATCAGGCCCTCCTAACCCTCTTGTATTGAACTGTATCGTCGCAGTATTGTCTCCCTTTATACTGTAAAGCGCTGAGCAAACTGTTACCGCCATATAAATCCTGTATCAGGGGTGGAGGGACCATTTGGGTACTCGGGCAGTGCCCGAGGGTCCGGGGTCAGTAGGGGGCCCCATGAGATGCCCCTGGC